TTTATTTTTAAACTCAGCAGTTTACTAAAATAATAAGTGACGAGACAGCATTTCTAGAAAGACTTTGGTTCAGAATGAACTCTCTGAGCTCTTGCCTGCTTCTTTTAGCTTTCACATATTTCTCTGACATATGAATCTATTTCTTTCAGAAGAGAACCAGTTCTTTATTAGAAGGTAAGAGCTGGGATAGCCTAAATGAAAGCTGTATGAAGAAGCCTTATAGATGTCTACTAGTCTGTAAGCGAACAAGTACTTTTAAAGTACTTTGGATGAATGTAGTTTCTATGGGTAGACAATGCTGCTCTCAGAAGATGCAAATTGTTAAATATCAGTGCCAGGGACCAGTCACCTCCTTGTAACTTATTTGTCAGAGGGGCCCCCAAAGTGCCCCCACAAACAACCCAGGTTCTTGGAACTGTTCTTGGTTGCCCACCAACTAGAGGGTGGGACCCATTGGCTCTGGATATGGGACACAGAGAAATTTGGGGAGGTTATGTGACCTGAGGCCATGGAGCCGTGACAGAGGAAGTTTAGGGGGCTAGAGCCTTGCCTGGCTTCCAGTTCTCTCTCTCTCTGCATCCTTGATGTTGATGGAATTGTGATCTCCCAGGGTCCTGCTCCTTCTGCCATGCCTCCCTATCATGGGGGACTCTTCTTTCTCTGAACTAGAAGCCAAAAGAAATACTTCAATAGGTCGCTTCTGGTTGTGATGTTTTATCACAGCAACAGAAACATACCTAATATGGCCATGGGAAATGATTGCTGTGGAATCCTCTTCACCCCAGGCCTGTTGTAGTATCAGAAGATGAGAGCCTATTTAAGTGCATTCCGGTAGAGGAGACTGGAAAATGGGAAGTCTGTCACAGTGGAATATTGTGTAACCATCACAAGCAACTCTGTAATGACCTTAAAGTCATATTGATAAATGATAAAAAGGAAACATCCAAGAACGTCTCCAAACAGACTAAGAAGCAACATCTAATTTGAGTTGTCAAATGAATGGAGAATAAGTAAACAGAAACTTATTTTGCATTTGTTGTGGGACTTTTCCAGGTTTTCTGGTTTGTACATATACTTATTATAGAAAATAAAGGATTAAATAAAGTTCATGAGGGTGACTTGAGAAGGTACGTCCAATTGTTAGTGATTTTTAGAAGCTGCGGTGCTGTTGATTCTGTGTTATTGAATCAACAGGAAATGGAATCACCAACAGCTCAATCCAATATCAGCAAAAGCTGCTCCCCATGTCTCACAGGGATCTACTAAACAGCCATTAATGAGTGAACAGATAAAGACATGTGACACACACATACAAAGGAATATTATTCTACCACAGGGGGCATTGTGAATTTCTTTTTATTATTCATTTTATTCCATGTGCATTGGTGTTTTGTTTGCATGGATGTCTGTATGAGGGTGTCAGGTCTGCTGGAACTGGAGTTACAGACAGTTGTAAGCTTCCATTTGGGTCCTGGGAATTGAACCAGGGTCCTCTGGAAGAACACTCAGTGCTCTTAATGACTAAGCCATCTCTCCAGCCCCATGAATTATTTTTACATTCAATGATCTACTTTGCCAATCTTCTCTGACATATGTTGTACCATATGTATTCATATAAACTTTCTCAAAATATTTTAAGGACAAAAGTATATATAATATAACTATAAGAAATCCGTGAATGCATGAAGAAATCTGGAATGTTTCTGCTTTTGAGTCTGAATAACTGCACTGTATGTCAATAGCACATTTTCCTCATCCATTTTTCTGTAGATAGATACTTAAGTTGGCAATTGCAATGCAATGGACATGCCGATGCAGACATCTTTGGAACCCAGATTGCATCTCATTGCACAGAATGCAAAGTGAATTAAAATAGTCACAGTAAGACAAAACTATGGTGTCTTTGACAAAAAAACTTTGACAGGCTTTTAGTTAGAATTGCCAACAGTCATGGAAACAGAGTAGAACAGAGATTGCCAGATATCCAGGGAGGGGAGAAGGAAGCTGCTTTTGAACAGAGAAAGCATCCATCCATTACATACAGCACACACTTCTATTTTAAGATTTATTTATTTATTATGCATACGGTGTTCTGTCTGCACATGTGCCTACACATCAGAGGAGGGCACCAGATCTCATTACAGATGGTTGTGAGCCACCATGTGGTTGCTGGGAATTGAACTCAGAACCTCTGGAAGAGCAGCCAGTGCTCTTGACCTCTGAACCATCTCTCCAGCCCCAGCACACACTTCTTGAGCTTTTCAGTATCACACAACCATGCCCATGGTTAATACTGTACACTCTAAATGTGTTAGCAAAGTATAATCCATGTTAAGGAACTTATAATTAATTAGAAGAAATAAAGAGAAGCCATGAGTGACTGGGTTTCATAGCCTAACACACAGACACACACACACACACACACACACACACACACACACACACACACACTAATACACATAAACACTATAACATACACACACACTAACACACTCACACTAATATACACACACTAATACACACTCACACATACAAACACACCACACTAACATACACACACACTAATACACACATACTACTACACATACACACACACACACAAACACACCACACTAACACACACTAATGCAAACACACTAACACACACACTAATACACACACACTAACACACTCACACTAACATATACATACACTAATATACACACAAAGAAAAACAGAAAAAAATTGACACGAATGCCTACAAAACATGTCATTTGCAATAAACACTTACTAAAAGATCCTTATAATTCATTAAACTAGAATGTTCATGTGATGTAAAATTATGGAACATCTGAATTATGTAGCTACAAATTGTCTCCAACAATAATGCTCACACTTGAGAGGATTAAATAAACTTTGTCAAGCTCTCAGTTAGAACTGGCAAGGTCACTTCATGTGTCCAAATGATTAAAACACATGAAAGTGTCTTTAAAACTAAGAAAGACTATGTAAATATCTGGTGTTCTTATAGCTATTGTGTATTGTTTATCTATGAGAAACTGTCAAAGAATTATTCCCCTTGGAATATGAAAAGCCTGGTTTTAAAAAATTGTGATTTTGTTCTTGATCAAAAAAATGTGTCCAGCTAAGTGGCTGACTCAGTGCCTTGAGTTGGGACACTCTTGCCTGCAGACTGTCATATTTGCCTCCATTTTTAGTTAACTGCTCTTTTAAAACATGGTGAAACAATTATGTTCCCTCTTAAAGAAATGGAAAAAAATCTCACAAAAAGGGCAACTAAGAATCCATGACCTTGGGAAGTTAAATCTACAAAGGTACAATTAATTCATCTACAGAAAGAATTAATAGAAGATGAGTAATTTGTAATAGACACTGGACACTTAAGACTTTATCTCAAATTACTTCCTGATTATGACTAAATAATTAAAATTAGTGAGTAACTACAAAATAAATAAATCCCACCTCCTATAACATACAGCATACAGCTGTAGGAGATTAATACAGGGAGACTGCATTCTGAGACTGAGGCAATTTATATTTCTGAGGAGACAGGTATAAAATGACATGCTATTAAATATGATTGAAAATGATAAGCATGATTTCAATTTTTCAAATTCTATTGAAAATAAGAGGAGACAGAACTTCCCTATATCAAGTGCACTTTTAAATCCCTTATCTCATTCATTCTCTTAAAAGAATCTCATGAGAGGCATCATTGCTTCAGCTCCAGAGATTCAAAAGCCCCAAGAAGGTTAATAAAAAGGCACATGTATTAAGTGATAGGCTGAAAAGAAAAGCTTTGGGATGTAGAGACATGAAAATGAAATGTGCAGAAAGATTTTGTGTTTTCTCCAGCAGCATGGAAAAAACTAGAAGCATAAAAAGTTCATGAGTGCCAGGACAAGACAGTAAAGTCATTGCACCAGGGACTGAAAAGAAGGAAGTCGTGTTTTGAAACTAAATCACAATCCCTTGGGACCTTTGAGGGTCTCATTAGCACTGAGATCTGAAAAATACAAAGGTAGAGTCTGCTTCTGTTGTAACCATAAAAGAAAGGGCTTAGAAGGCGTGATCAAAGGAAGTGGACATTCGAATTAAACTGCAGAGAACACCAGCAGTATTGCTCAGCCACTCAACAAATTTGAGATGGACTCCTTTGTGGCTTCCCAGCTAACATCTAAGAAATGAGCTTTTGCTTTTAACACAGCGATAAGTCCAACCATGTTTGTTGAAACATGGGGCCATGCAGCTGACCCAAATGGTGTGAGAACAAAAATGAGAGCACTCATAAAAATCAGTGTTTATACAAAACCACTCAATGAGAAGACAGTATGCTTTCTCAACAACAACAATAATAGCATCTGAGCTGCCAGAACTTCATGATACATTTAAGGAAGACTTCATCAGTAGCTTGTAACTGGTATACATTTGAAATATTGTTGCCCCAAGCACAGTACTTATCCAGAAAAAAACAATAAATAAATCTACATATAACATGAATCTGATAATTTGTGAACACTAAAGTAACTTTAATGCTAGTGGGTCTCAATTGCAAAACCATCATCTCAGACTCAGGACTCTTCTGTAACTAACAAAAGCCCTTGGGGAGACAACCTAGTTAGTAAAGTACTTTCCACGTGGGCATAAGACCTGAGGTCAGACCCTAGCCCCCACATAAGGACCCATTTGCAGTAGTTCAGTTATAACCCCAGCTGTGTGGAGAGAGGTGGAGACAGGTGGGGAGTTGCTGGCCAACTAAACTAGCTAGCCAGCTTCAGGTCCAACGAGAGGCCTTTATTATCTGAGACAATAAGGTGGATAGCAATTGAGAAAGACAATGTTGGCCTCTGGCCTCCACATGTGTGTACTTGTTCATACACACAAACACACACACACACACACACACACACACACACACACACACACGTGGCAGGAGGGAGACTGACACACACCCAAAAAACTAATTTTTTTTTTTATTTTAAAGACAACATCACAAATACCTGAACTGTTAGTGGCCCAAGACCTGCTGTTGGGAGTGTTCTGAAAAAGAAATCAAGAGATAAGAAAAATCACAATAACCAGAATGAAAAATTCTTCAGAGCACTCAAAGTCAGGTTTGGGCCGGGAGAAGAATCAAGGAATGTGGAGATAACTGAGATTGGCCAGTCTTTGGACCAGAACCAAACAACACAAGGCAAAAGTGAATAAAGTCTCCTAGAACTGAGGTATAGGCACTGCCAGGCATACCAATAAATTCTTGACTGCATCTCCAGAGAAACACAAGATGTGAAGGGAAAAAATAATTGTTTCACCAAATACTACCTTGATGCCTACAAACCTTATACAAAAATATTAATCTATACATCCAAATATTGGAGAGATCTATACCCAAATATGTCAAAAGTGAACTATTGAAAAACAAAGACAAAGAAGACTTTGGGAAAGATATTGGGGAGGACTCACTGTTCACAAGAGATCCTGGAAGGATCAACAGCCCTTTCTTATCAGAAGGTGGTGTTAGGACATATTCTGGTACTGGAGAACAAAAAGACTGGTTACCAAGAATTCTATTCCTAGTGAAATTAACCTTCAGAAATGAAGAAAAATGCACGTTTCTAAATTTTAAGAGAATTGGTAGGGCCCGAGAGATTGCTCAGTGGTTGAGAGAATTTGGGCTCTTCCAGAGGACCTGCTTGGATTCCTAGTATCCATATTTTATCTCACAACCATTTGAATCTTATGTCCCAGGGGACCTGACACCCTCTTCTGGCCTTTGTGAACACCAGGCATGCATATAATGTACAGACATACCAGACATACATATAGGCAAACACAATAAACTAACTTTAAAACTTTTTAATTGCTGCAAAACATATTTTTCTAGGCAGATAGAATTCTCTAACTGAGACTGGCAAGTTGTGACAGCATTTCCCACACCTAATCATCTAAGTTTGATTCCTGAGACTTACAAGGTACAAGGAGAGAACCAACTCCTGAAAGCTGTCTTCTGACCTCTACACACATAGAAGGTGCATACAAGCAAGTGTGTGCACATATGCGCATGATACACACACCAAAAAATGTAATTTTTAAAACTATTTTAATTCTGCCATTGCATTCTTGAAACATGATGACGTGGAATAAAATCTACCTCTCCCACATGCCCTGTTTACAAGCCCCATTTCTAATTATTAACATTTATATAAAACAGTGTTGCCTCTAAAAACAAATTGCAAATGGATTAGCCATAAACATGGCCATGGACATTAACACCTCACAGTTAGTTGCCAATGAATCAGAACATGAATACTGTAGATATGATCTGATTCTACATGTCAAGGATAGCACACACTGGAAGTTCACATGCTGACTGTTCCAGTATGGTTGTACCAGCTTCTGTGAAAACATGGAGTTTGTGCAGACATTTAGAAGCCTGTCAAAGAATGCAAACACCATGCAGGTGGATTCGTGGAACCAGACCCGATAAGTTTTCAAATAACAACTCTACCAACTATGTACCTTTCCAATGAACATACAGTGAGTGTCTAGTTAATAACGGATGAGAGAAGGAGACTCCAGGCGCAGTTGTTTCCATGTCTAATATCTAAAAAACAGTTCTTAGCCAGACATAGATGCCATTCTCTGAGAAAGACTAAGGAACTACATGGAGAGAATCACAGCCCCCTCATCTCTACAGTGAGTGTGTACCATCAGAAGTGATTAAAGGTGAAATAACCCTCCGGAATAGTTAACTATATAAGAGTAAAGCAAAGTATAAATATGGTTTCTGTTCTAACGTATTTGTATTCTCTGATTTAAAAGCAGATCTATGCAAAACAATCCTCACTTCATTAGGTTTGTGAGTACTTATTAAGATGTGAAATGTATGGCAATAACACAAATGGGAGAAAGAAGGTAGAGCTGTCTACAGAAAAGTTTTACTCTCATATTTAGGTGGAGCTGGAATTAATTTCATAGAGATTGTTATAAACTAATTGGATAACTTTAAAACCAAGAGAGACTATTAAGAATCTTATTCAAGAAAGAATATAACCTAGAAAGGACAAGAAAATTGACACAGTACATTAAATATTTATGTAACACAAAGGGACACAACTAATACACAGAGACTTCTATGTTTATCTTATTGATTGTTAAATAAAATACTGCTTGGCCAATGGCTAGGATTCCTCATCTGTTAGCTCAGTCTCAATTATCATAAATCTATATATTTTATAAGACTTATCTTATAGAGGATGCCTTCCGCTGGCACCTTCTCTTGCCGGTGGATCACATGGAGACTCCAGAGCAGAGACCAGGAGGAAGAGAGAAGGGGTCCACTTCCTTCCTGCCCTTGTTTATGAGTCTCCCTGCTATGTCACTTCCTGTGTGGATCACCACTTCTTTACTACATTTCCCAGAATCCTCCTTGACTCCTAGTCCCTCCTAACTTGCTGCCTCATTGGCCAAACAGTACTTTATCATCCAGTAAGACAAACACATACACAGAAGCACTTCCCCCATCATCTCCTCTTTTCTGTCTAAATAAAAAGAAGGATAACTTATCTTTTATAATAACTGAAGAAAACTATAACTATAACTATCTGTCTTTAACTTTATCAAAGACCACAGAAGGATAATATATAAACTCCAGAATTGACAGAGACATCTTGCTACCTGGACAGTCACCCAAAGTTCCTCTGTAACATTGGGGCATCCATCTTCAACCCATAGGCCATAGTGTTTTTGGCACAATTCTCCATTTCAACAGGAACCCTTCAGTACTGTCTTGTTTTGTAAGTTCAGCAGTCACTTTCTTGTGGGTCCTTAATGTTCAGTTTATACACCAACAAACAGTCCAGGCAAGAGCAGTTTCTTGCCCAAATGGCTAATCTTGCCATGTTGAAAGCAAACTCCATATTGAGTTTCTTTGATACCATCCTCCTTTCTGATGTAATTAGTGTGCCAGCAGCAGACAGGCAGACAGGCCAGAGAGAAGGGGCTCCCATGTGCCTTGCAGCCCCTTAAAAACCTTTTGTGCATCATCCTGACCTCACCTTGACCATGCCTGACTGGCGTGGTCAGACACACCTGTAGCCAGCTTCTGGCAGGTGTGGCTTACTGTCCCCTATACACAACAGTGGAGAATATATGCAGATTAAAACAAATTTAAGTGACACAAGCCACAAAGCCAAAAAAGAAAAAAAAGCAGATATCAATCTTTCTGTATCATTAATCACATAACTATAAATGGATTAAACTAAAGACAGAGATTTTAAAACTGATGCATAAATGTGTAACCCCAACTAGCTGCTTTGCATAAGAGGTACATATTTAGATTTAAAAGCAGTTGTTTAGGAAGTAAAAAGTTCAAAATTATACACATAGGGGCTAGGAAGACATCTTGTCAGTAAAATGCCTGCCATGCAAGAGTGATGACATGAGTTCAGATCCCCATGCCTTCGTAAAGAGACAGGTATGGTTGGTGGCTTGAGTGCCAGGGAGGAAGAGACAACAGTATCCCCAGAATTCACTGGCCATACAGTTGAGCCAATCAGTGAGCACTGGGTTTACTGAGAGGCTCCATCTCCCATACAGCTGAGCCAATCAGTGAGCCTTGAGTTTGATGAGTAGCTCCATCTCAAAAAAACAGATGGGTAGTGACAGGGGGAAACAAGTAACACCGAACACTGTCATGCATACACATGTAGACACACGTTATATACAAGCATCATACACATTCAAAATTACAAAAAATCAATAAACATAAGTCAATTGTCATGGCCACACTAACATCTGATAGCACTAATAATAAATAAGGGCAATGAGTGTCGTTTTATTAAGTACATTAGTCAATTCATCAAAAAGAAAAATCAAATTTTCAAAAAGAGCACTAAGATATTTCAGTGGGAAATATTACTATTTCTTCAAATGACATGCAGATGAGAGGATATCCACCCAGATGATGAAGTCAGGCTCTTTGCCACTCATCATTGATTAAAATTTTGCTTGAAACAGAACAAAAAATTAAATTTAAGAACAAAACCTATAAGATAGGATAAAATGAAAGTAGATGTATGATAACCTTCAATTGGATAATGGTTTCTTAAACAAGACACTAAAAGCACAAATAATGAAAGAAAAACATAGATAACCAAATATTAAATTTACTCTTAAGAGCCTATAATCAAGAAGGTAAAAATAGAATAAGAAAATTTGGATAAAATGTTGAGAAATCCTGTCTCCACAAGGAACTTCTGAATATGATTCACCAAGGAATTGTCATTTGTGTGTATATGTGTATAGATGCATACACACATACATACATACCACAGCATTATACGTACACATATGATGAGTTTTATTGCTATACATATACAATTTATAGGTGTTTATTTAGACATATATATCAAATTTTTGCAACTCAATCATAAAATAATAAAATGATTCTAAATAGATGATTCTTCCAGTAAGAAATATCAATGAGACAAGCATAAAAATATGTCCAACATAACCAGTCATTCAAAAATGTAAATAGAGAGTGCAGTGACTTTTCATCTCATGCTGCAACAATGAGTTTTCGAAAGAGGAGGTGCACTTAACCAGAACAATGAAAAGTAGAGGAGATAGAAGTCTCCCACACCACTACCTGGAGAGTGAAGGCTTATAGCTCTTTTGGTAATCAATTTGACAATTACTCCTAGAAAATTGCCACATTATCTAGCAATTCCACTCCTAGATACAGAAAACAAAAACCAAAATTATATGTCCACAAATAACCTCAAGTACAGATGTCCAAAGAAAAATTTTTCACAGTAGAAAATATATAGAAAAACCCATCAAGTGGCAAACAGATAAAATGGCTACCCATACAATGAAACACTATTCACATGTAAGCAATAAATATTATAACATTGTTAACCTTTAAAACACTGTGACTTCATGAAATAATGTGGATGGAAAGGCTTTATATTACATAAGTTCAATTATGTGAATGTCTAAGATAGAAAAAAGAACATATGTAACTAATAATCACAGAGTCTTGCAGAGTGTAGAGTGGGGCTATGTGAAACCAGCATATACAGTGATTACTAGTGAATACCAGGTTTGTTCTCAAGACAAAGCCTGTATATTGAAATTAGAGAGTGGTGATGACAGAAAGCACTGTATCATCACCATAGATCATCAGGTTGTATGCACACAGAGATATAATTAATATTTTTAATTAAATTACACATCAAAAGTAATGTAGTAAGTAGTAATGTATTCTGGAAGTGGCTTGATTTTATAAAATGTGAACTGTATTGGAATTAGAACCAGAATTCCTAATAGAAGTTATGGCAAAATTGGACTTAACAGATATCTATAGAACATTCCATCCAAATACAAAACAATTTACCTTCTTCTCAGCACCACATGGAACCTTCTCTAAAATCAACCACATACTTGGCAACATAGCAAATCTCAAGGTACAAAAAAATTTGAAATAACACCCTGTATCTTATCAGACCACCATGCTTTAAAGTTATAATTCAACAACAACACAAATTACAGAAAACCTACAAATTCATGGAAATTAAGTAGCCCCCAATTGCACAATTCCTGGGTCAATGAAGAAATAAAAAAAGAAATTAAAGATTTCCTAGAATTCAATGAAAATGCGGACACAACATACCCAAACTTATGGGACACTTTGAAATCAGTGCTAAGAGGAAAGTTCATAGCGCTAAGTGCCCACATGAAGAAACAGGAGAATAATCACACTAGAGAATTAACAGCACAACTGAAAGTTTTAGAACACAAAGAAGCCAATACACCCAGGAGGGGCAGATGCCAGGAAATAATCAAATTGAGTGCTGAAATCAATAAAACGGAAAATAAAATATACAAAGAATCAATATAACAAAGAGTTGGTTCTTCGAGAAAAATCAACAAGATAGACAAACCTTTATCCAAACTTACCAAACAGGAGAGAGGGGAACATGCAAATTAATAAAATCGGGAATGAAAAGGGGGACACAACAACAGACACAGAGGAAATCCAGAGAATCATCAGTTTATACTTCGAAAACCTATATTCCTCAAAATTCGAAAATCTAAAGGAAATGGACAATTTTCTAAACAGAATTCACTTACCAAAATTAAATCATGAACAGATAAGCAAAAATAGACCTATAACCCCTAGTGAAATATAAGCACTCATCAGAAGTCTCCCAACCAAAAAAAGGCCAGGGCCAGATGGCTTCAGTGCAGAATTCTAGGAACAGCTAATACCAATTCTCCTCAAATTACTCCACACAATAGAAGCAGAAGGGACATTGCCAAACTCTTTTTATGAGGCTTCAATAACCTTGATACTCAAGCCACACAAAGACACAACCAAGAAAGAGAACTACAGACCAATATCCCTCATGAATATTAATGCAAAATTCTCAATAAAATACTAGAAAAATGATTCCAAGAACTCATCAAAGAAATCATCCAACATGATCAAGTAGGCTTCATCCAAGGGATGCAAGGATGGTTCAACATATGAAAATCCATCAATGTAATCTACCATATAAATAGACTGAGGAAAAAAAAAAAACACGATCATCTCACTAGATGCGGAAAAAGCCTTTGACAACATCCAATACCCCTTCATGATAAAGGTCTTGGAGAAATCAGGGATAACAAGAACATTCCTCAACATAATAAAAGCAATATACAGCAAGCCAACAGCCAACATCAAATTAAATGGAGAGAAACTTGATGCAATTCCTCTAAAATTGGGGAAAGACAAGGCTGTCCACTCTATCCATACCTCTTCAATATTGTCCATGAAGTTATAGCTAGAGCAAGAAGACAACAAAGGGAGATCAAGAGAATACAAACTGGAAAGGAAGAAGTCAGACTCTCACTATTTGGAGATGATATGATAGTCAATATAAGTGATCCGAAAAACTCTACCAGGGAACTCCTACAGCTGATAAACACTTTCAACAAAGTGGCAGGATACAAGATTAACTCAAAAATCTGTAGCCCTACTATATATTGATGACACACTGATGGAGAAACAAATCAGAGAAAGAGCACCCTTTACAACTGCCACAAACAACATAAAATACCTTGG